AAATTGGCCTCAAATCAACGTCGCCATATTGGAAAAATTCTGCAACATAATCATTTTACTACAGCAGGTGAACTTAAAACCAAATTGGAAGAAAATGATCCCAACCTTGATGTTAGTGAACGTACTATACATTGTGAGCTTAAAATCTTGGTTATGTTTCTATTCTTCCAAAAAAAGTTCCTCTCTTGACCCAAAAAGTGAAGGATTGTTGGTTGTCTTGGTCACGTGATCATTCGCGTTACAACTGGAAGAAAGTTGTTTTTTCTGATGAAATAACACTTCAGATATTTAGAAATACCACGTGTGCATGGTCTCATAATGCGCAACCAATTGCCCCCATGGTAAAGCATCCATTCAAGGTTCATGTTTGGGCAGCGATTTGTGCTAAAGGAAAAATTAGCATTCATTTGTTTACTGAAAATTTGGATTGTCATTTGTATTGAAAAATCTTGAATAACCATCTGTATGACAACGCGAGTATGATATGCGGTCGCGGCTGGATTTTCCAACAAGATAATGACCCAAAACATACCTCACAAGATGTTCAGCGTGATTTGAAAAAATATCTTCCAGGACGAGTTCTTTCTTGGCCTTCTTACAGCCCAGACTTGAACCCTATCGAAAATGAATGGGCTGTATTAAAGGGAAAAGTGGAGAAAAAGGTCAAATATTTAGTGGCAAAAAAAAAAAATATTACCTGCGATGTATTCCTTAATACAATCCGGCAGGAATGGGACGATCTTGATGATGCCGTGTTACTTCGATGCATTGAGAGCATGCCAAACCGGGTTAAAGCATGTATCGATGCAGAAGGAGGACACACCAAATATTAATTAAATAATAAAAAAGTAGCCGTTAGTGATTGTCTTGTAAATAAATAAAAAAAAAATTACAATAAAAATAAAGTTAGTACATACCATAAAAATTCGTTTCCACTATTCTTTTCGCCGGGAACTGTAGATATTTAAAATTTTCGATAATAAGTAATGCTTGTTTAATTTCTAAATTTGGAGTCAACCAATGTATAGTAATTCCAATAAAAGGTAAATAATTTTGAGTCCATAAGTCAGAAAGTATCCATAGTGTTTTCTAACATTTCATATAAGCTTTTTTCTTTAATACTAACAGATTCACTCATTTTTTTATATAAAGTATTTTTACATGGAATGGGATAGCATGATTCAAGCCTGTTAATAAACTTTCAAAATTTGAAATTATTAATCACATGAAAAGCTTGCATATTGTTTACTAACCAATCTAATAAATCATTCGTAATTACTTCAATGAACTTTTGATCAAGAGGATCTTGAATTTCAATTTAATTTTCTGAATCTGGTAAAATTTCTGCTCCTTTAAATCTTTCTTTAATTATTCGATATTTTGTTCTTAAATGATTAGCAATACTAGTTGTGCTTGTCTTATTTTTACATGACCATTCATATTGATGTTTAATACCATTATCATCTTCAACTAATATTTGACAACATCGGCTTTTTTTTTGAACAAATGACCAAACACAACTTTCTGCTGATCGTTTTGCTAGAATAACTTGTATATGTGGTGTAGTATGAGTCTCTCTATTATTATCAGGAAAAGCCGAAGTATTAAGATTACTCATTTTTTCTCTAAAAAAAAATATGGAATTTTTCAGACATTTATAAAACAAATTATTTTTATGAACAATAAATTCGATTATTGGTGTTAAATTACATTTTCTTTTGTTTCGTAACAATTATCATGCATTGTGCATAATTAAATAAAAATGGATCAACTAAAGCTGATCGACTCTATAGTCAGCTGACTAAATCAACTAGTCAACTGATAATTACTGATTCAGATCAACTTCAAACATTATGTCAGCCTCTGTACACGTTTTATAAATTATGAAGATATATACCAACCATCACCCAAAGTTGTGCTGGAAGCCTTAAAAAAGTTAAAAGATGGTAATAAAGCGGGTGATAATAAAGCGGATGACGGTGGGTAGATAAAGGCGATGACCTGAATGAAGACAAAGTGGATGAAGATGAGGTATTAAAAATAAGAGATGCCTTAGCGCAGAAATCAGCTGAAAAATGGGTTAGAGGGTATATCAAAGAGCTACATACTGGTCCAAAAAAAATCATGCCATTATATCCCATCTGTGAAAAGAGGCTAATACTTATGCGAAAAATTTATTTAATAGCACGTATGCTGATAAAATAGTAAAATACTCAGGAAATGATGCTTATTGGTCTTCCTACCTCAATGCACTAGACAAGCAAGAGAAATCCATCTGCTTAAAGCTAACAACATTACTTGCAGAAATTTCTAAGATCAATGTTGGCTGTAGAAATGGAATGTATAAATTAGTTACTAAGGTCGGTAAGCGCAGATTGAAAGCCATATCCTTAGAAAGATACATGTTATCATATAATCTAGAAATGGATATGATTTACTAACTGATTTGCGAAATACATGGTATAGGATAGTTGGTCTAGAAATTACATGCTATAAAGCATTATTGAAGTTACAGGAAGATAAAAAAGATGATTTATCCAAGGCAGATATAGACGATATCATTGTACTATATTATTCTTAGCCGAATTTGCCAGACCTTAGCTAAGAAACTTACAATATCATTTATAGTAGCATATATTTTTTCGTACAATAATACCGGCTAACTTCAATTTTTATCTCTGGACTTCAGCGACAAGGCGCCTCTGATCATACAGTCCGACCTCAGATATACCCAGATATGTCTGGAGATAAACACTAGTATTTTTAAATATAAGCTTTATTGGTATAATGGCTGAACTATGTGACCAAGTTTCCCAGTACATAGGCTTCAAACCAAATGAAATTCACCTCCCAATCACAGAAGAGGATAGGTGGCTATTTAGTAAGATAATAGCAGATCAGGAAGGAATGGCAGATATCGTAATGGATGACTATCAATATTTACTATAATATGGACATAATGGTAAGGGTGGTAACTGGATCTATATTGGATGGTTATTAGCATGTACAGTATCTCAAGCTGAAAAGATCTTAATAAATTCACCCAAAGATTTATCAGAAAAGGTATTAGCTCACATCGAAAAAAGATTCGAAGAAGTCCCACTTGAGCTAATACTTATACGATAGTCGATTAGGTATTGGTTAGTAAAGCTAATGGCCTATTTATATATTTTTCATGTGTGAAATAATGGCCATTTTTTAAATTCATACCCCATATATCCCATATTTTTTTCCCAACCACGAGCCATATAATTGCAATAAGTAGTAAGGCAAGTATGGAATATATTATCAACGGTGACATGAAGGGGCTCGCAATAATAGGAGTAGTTGCTGGTAAAGATACTAATTCTGCGCCACCTAATTGCTTCACATCTGTTTGGCTTCTCGAAACCATCTCATCTCGAGATAATAGCTCTTGCAAAGCCTCTAATATATTTTCTCTGGCAAAACTTTTATCAAGTTCCATAACTTTATCTTCAAGACTATGCTTATAGACAAGAGGTCTTAAATCATCACTGAGCCAACATGGTAGCTTTTGCAATGAATCTTTTATAGGTGGAGGTGAGGGTTAGAGAGATCTGCTATTTCATTATCTTTCTTAAATGCTAACTGGTTCCTGAGGAACCTATTTTCCTCCATTAATTTTAATCATTCTGAAGACCAAATATCTAATTCCCTTTTGAATATGCTATTTGTATATTCTTTTGAATTACGGTCCTCATTTGCTCGCTCTAATTCAAGCCTGAGAGAATCGATCTCTTTGGGATTATCTGTTTTAGATGAGTTTATTTGGGTCGGCTCCTCTATTACTCCTCCCATTACATCTGAATCATGGGATACCTTCAAATCTCCCAACTTACCTTCCAATTCACGTACTTTAGCTTCAAGAAAAAGGATCTTGACCTTATCAGAGGATAAAGCTTTCTGGGCTAAAGTTACTTCTCTCTTTAGTGTTTTAATATTTGATTTGAGGGATTTGATTTTGGCAGTATATTTGGCTTCAAGCTTACATTGACTCTCAGAATGAGACTTCCGTTCAGAAATAATTCGGATCTAAGTTTAGTGCTGGACATATTTAACTGGCTAATCTTATTTCCAATATCAGCATAGGTTCGATGAGACTCCTTTTCTTGCTCTGAATTCTCTGAATTTTCTGCCTGCAACTTTTCATTGAAATCAGTAATTTCAGAGTTAAAATCGATAGTAGTTCTTAATTTTTTTCAAGCTCTTGCTCATATGCACTACCCAACTGATATCTTCTATTTTTATATCTTTTAATGTATACATATTGGACATAATCTTGGCATGGTTATATGGCAGGATGAATAAATTTCATATCAGACCTAAGCGTATTTATGAAATATGAGATAACAAAGAATGCCTCTAGCAAGGGATGGTTTTAGAGGGATTGGTTATTTCATACTGAGTCAAATATACATAGCCAAAATACATCTCCATTTACGGAACTGGAAAAAAAGATATATGAGCTAAAGTATAGTCTAGCAAATCTACTGATTCAGCTTTAGAAAAAGGAGACAGTAAGGTGAAAAAGACTGGAAGAAAGAAATTGAAGTCTGTATTATCAGAGCTGGCAATCTAGTATTCAGACTCAGCCAATTCAGGCTTCAAAAAAGGATAAAAATTATGAAAATTTGGATGCATCCTATGAGAAGATGGTTGAAAAAAGTACAAAGATTTTAGATGTAAAAAAGAAGTGTTATCCTGAAAATAACTTGCCTATTCCCTAAGAAGACTTTCGCAAAACTCATAGATTTCAGCATTGAACTTAAGAGTATTGGAAAGTTTTTTCACATTCAGGAGTAATGTTCACACATTCACCTCGAATTTGTTCTTGACCTTATGCATAGGAAATCTTCAACTCATCTTTATCCCAATCAATTGCACATTTATATTTCTTAAGAAGAGGGTACGAAAATATCAGCATTGGCTTAGAGTATTTTACAATTATCCTAGAGCTAAGGTTATAGGTAAATTGTGAATGACTCCAATGGATTCAACCGGTACAGTAGCAACGCCACTAGTTGGTTCTTTCTTTCAGACAAAGTCTATCTCCATAGTATCATCTAAAACATCTTCACCATCTGATAGCTCTGGTTTCTTCTCATCCGATTTTTTAGCCTGCTGGATTATATATGGAAGAAAATTCTCAAGTTCGCTCTGAATGATTTTGCAGATAGTTTCTTCTAAAGACACCCACTTAGTACCTTGGCTATCTTTCTTTCAGTCTGGTGAGGCATTGTAAAGAGGAAATAAATTAATATTCTGCTTTACCGTACGAGGCTTAGATTTATTAATGTTCTTAGTACTTGGTGATTTATTGGAAATATCCTTCCGTCTACTCGACTTAGTATACTTCACTTTTTTTTCCATGACTTATAAGAACATTAAGATCATGATTTTTAGAGTTTGATTCAGCTGAAGAACCATCGGAATTAAAACCATCGTCTTCAGACTCTGATATGGTAAAGTCTTCCTTTTAGAATTGGATTCAGATAGTTTTTGTACTTTAATTGAAAATCAAGAACCGTGTTTACAAGGATTTTTTAAAGAATTTGTAGATGCATTGAATCCTAAAAGAAGATCAAAAAAACATTGGATAATGGAAAGAAGACTGCTGTTGGATTTTGTTATCTTCTTGCTGGATTGGGTAATAAATTTGTTAATAATTTAAAACTTGAAATTG